TTTTTTTTGGTTTGCATTCACATGAAATATCCAGCCCTTCACTTTCAGTCTAAGTATATCCTTGTCAGTGAGGTATGTTTCTTGTAAGCAACATATAGAATTATTTTATTATTTTTTATCCATCCAGTGAGTCTGTGTTATTTTCATAGGAGAACTTAATCCATTAACATTCAATGTTATTACTGACATTTGCGGACTTATCTCTTTCACTTTAACTATTTCCTCAGGTTTTTTTTATTCTCTTATTCTTGTTTGTCTCTCTTTAGTGTTCCTGTTACAATACTCCCTTCAATATTTCTTGTAGAACTTCCTCATATTGGTGAATTCTTTCCGTTTTTGTTTGAGAATACTTTTATTTGTTCTTCCCATTTTAAGGATAATCTTGCTCGATACAGTATTCTTTGATTTTCTTTTAATATCTTGAATGCATTTTCCCATTCTTTCTTTGCTTGCATTATTTCAGATGAGAGGTGTGTTAGTCTAATGGGATAACTTATAAGTATCTTGAACTTTGTGCCTTGCCATTTTTAGAATATTATTTGTCTTTGATTTTTACCAATGTGGCTATAATGTGCCAAGGGGAGAATCTTTTTATATTGATTCTATTTGAAATCCTTATTTTTTCCTTAGACCTGAATTTCTCCATCTTTCTCTATATTTGGAAAATTTTCAAATAATATTTTATGAAAGAGGTATTCCAAACCTTTAGTCACCTGTTAATCTTCTGGAATAATCATTATATCGATATATGGATATTTCATGATGTATAGAATTTTCATGTGTGTCTGGAAGATCAATGTTGCAAGCATACTCAAGCCTGAAATCTGAGTTATGTGAGACTTGGTGATGAAATGGGCAAGCAGGAAGAAAGACAAAAAAAAAAATCCTTTTTAAGAGAGGACCATCAATTTCAGGACACCAAACATAAATATAAAGACCTAGATAGGAATGGATCAACAGAAGGCATGGCAGTTGTTGCTGGAATTCCCTCATGACCGACAACAGTGTGAGTCAAGACCAGTGGCTTGACATTCAGATGAGGTGTGTGTGCATGCATGCCCAGTATCATAAGAGGAAAATGAAGGAGGGGTTGTGGTGTGGCCATTCCCTCTTAGAGATGATTTCTCACTTTGCCTATCACTGTCAATGTCTCTCTCTGTCTCTTTCTTGCAAGCACAGGTACCCTAAGGCAAAAACCTCTTTAAAAAAAAGACACACAAGGATTCTGAAAACGCTGCACATTCCTTAATAGTCACCTACACAGGTAATACTAATAACCATTGTGTATTAAGACACCAAAGTTCTCTTATTTAAACAATGACTTTTTATTAATTCTCTAAATCTGCATAACTATTTTCGTTTCTATTTTTTAACTTGAAGTCTCTATCTTCCCCAATGTAACATTTCTTTCTTTCTTTCTTTCTTTCTTTCTTTCTTTCTTTCTTTCTTTCTTTCTTTCTTTCTTTCTTTCTTCTTTCTTTCTTTTTTTCTTTCTCTCTTTCTTTTTGGGACAGGTTTTTGCTATAGTGTACATGCACTCGTCAGAAAGACAGAGCGAGACAGAGAGATAGAAAGCCATAAATCACCCCCAGGGGGCATGGTCACACTGCAATCTCTTCTCCTCCATTCTCCTGTCAGGATCTTGGGCATGCACACACATTTGCCTGGTGTGAATTTAAGCCACCGGGTCCAGGACTTGAACCGTGGTTGACTACATGGGAGGCCAATGACATAGCCATTATGCTAACTGCTGGTCTCTCCTGGTGTAAAATTTCTACATAATGCAAATTGAAAATCACATAATTTACTTCTTCTAACTTAACATTTTAAATGTTAAACCAAGAAATGTAATCAAGTAGTAGAACATTCTCTGCATAGAGATCATGATCTCTAGTTCTCCCATTATTTTTTACCCAGCAGCATAAAATAGATTCCATGTAGGAAAGCTAAAATATGTTAGTATTTTTAAAATAAAAGCTTAATATTACCAGAACTCAGTCCAAAGAGTAAATTAAGTTACTGGACTTGCATGTGTTTGACTGCAGTTCAAGTCTTGGACCTAATGACTTAAAATTCACACCAGGCACATGTGCATGCATGCTCAAGATCCAGAGATGAAAATGCAGAAAAATGGATGATTGCATGGCCGTCACTCGGGATAAGGGGTAATTTCTCTCTGTTTCTCTGTTTCTCTTGTGAGTGCACGTGCCCTATAGCAAAATTTTTAAATAAAGAGTAAATCAATTTACAATAATTACATCGTAATTAACAAATATAAAATTTACTACTGGATTGGAATTTATTAAATGTATCACTTCCTCTTAAAATTGCTCAACAGCTAATCAGCAGTGAATCATCTTGCAATTATACAACTCTTTTTCTTTTTTTCTAAAGATTTTTGAGATAGGTTGTGTGTATTTTTTAAAGACGATGAGAGAGAAAGTGAGAACATACCCAGAAGGTGTGGCCAAGTCACAATACCTTCTCCTTCATTCTGATCCTGGGATTTTGGACATGCATGCATATATACCTGGCATGATTTTCAATCAGCTAGATCCAAAATTTAAACTGCAGCAGAACATGTGGAAGTTCAGCACTTGAACCACTTTGTCACCTCCTGGTTCAACTATATGACTTTTAAAAAAAAAAAAGAGAGAGAGATTTTTGCTATGGAATATGAGCACTTAACAGAGAGAGAGACAAAGACAGAATGTGAAAAATCACCCTCTGCACATGGGGAATGGTCTCACTACAATTCCTCCTCCTTCATTCTTACCTAAGGATTTTAAGTATGCATGTACATGTCTTTGGGGTGAGTTTCAAGGTGCCAGGTCTATGATGCAAACCGGATGTGAGTCCAGTGCCTTAACCACTAAGCCACCTCGTGGGCCCCACACCTTTTTAAGAATGGAGAAAAACAATTTTAAGAGCTGCCTGCTACAATAACTTTGTTTTAATGAATATCTTTTGTTTCTTACTTTCACATATTATTGAATTCTGCCAGAGAGCATCTCTAGGCAGTTTCTCAACATTTAGGTAAAATGTTTAGCAACTTTCTAATGTAACTTAAGAAAAAGGTAAAAAAAATTCTCTGAAATGGAAAAAAAAAAGATGAAAGACATCACATCAACACTATTTGACACACGAAGAAATTCAAAAAAGAAGCACAAAGTAAACTAAATGCTAGCAAAAACAAAGATTTTAAATTAGAATGGATATAAATAAAAGATGTGTGAACCATACAGAGAAACAATGTAACTACTAGCTAGTTTTTTTTTTTGAGAGAGAGAGGTTTTTGCTATAGGGTGTGTGCACTCTCAAGAAAAACAGAGAGAGACAGAGAGATAGAAAGTGAGAAATCACCCCCCAGGGGGGATGGCCATGCAGCAATCCCTTCTCCTCCATTCTCCTCTCAGGATCTTGGGCACGCATGCACATGTGCCCAGCGTAAGTTTAAGCCACTGGGTCGTGTTGCCCATTCGACTCTGTTTTTTTTTTTTTTTTTTTTTTTTAACAACATTAAGAACCTGACTAAACTTTAGATAGACCTTCCTAGAAAAGAGAGAGAGGATACAATCAATAAACCAGATATGGAAGAAAAGACACTATTCCTAACTATACAAAAGTAAAAAGCTTTCTTTGAGAACAATATGAATATTAAATAACTAATAAAATTTACCTATTAATCAATACCCACAATGTAAAAAATAGCCATTAATCTAAGATACCATTCATAATTGAAGGTTTAATAACTACCAAAGATTAGATGTATACAATGATTATTTCAAAAAATGAATTTAAGAAGTCAGTCATTTTCAGTCACTTTATACTATGAGAATATAAAAATGGTACACTTTTGCCTCAAAACCTTAAAAAGAAAAAAACCTTAAAATTGTGATAGTAGCTTATGACATAGAACCTTAGGTTTTATTTGAAACCCCTTCTGTTTTTTAAAACTTTCCAAGAGTTCTTATCAGGTCTTAACAGAATAATGTAGCATTTGGGGGCAAAGATGCAGCCTAAGAGCCCTGCACTGGAGGCCAAAATGGAGAAGACCTCCACAGCCACCATGAACTTCCCCTTGGTGCTGTGATAGACAGGGACAAATGTGACCCAGACACTGCAGAACACCAGCATGCTGAATGTGAGGAACTTGGCTTCATTGAATGCATCAGGCAGGTTCCTGGCCAGGAAAGCCACAGTGAAACTCCCCAGAGCCAAGAAGCCCAGGTAGCCCAGGACACAGTAGAAGGCAGTGACTGAGCCCTTGTTGCACACAATGATGATATTTCTGGACTCCGAATGTGAGTCTATATCAACAAAAGGGGGAGATGTTCCCAGCCAGATTCCACAGATAATCATTTGGATCAGGGAGCAAATGGAAATGATAGAGTTGGAAACCCTGGAGACCAGCAAGCACCTCATTGTTCTCCCAGGTTTCCTGGCCTTGAATGCCAGAATTACAGTAATTGTTTTGGCCAGAATGGTGGAAACAGCCACAGTGAACACAAGGCCAAATGTGAGTTGTTGGAAGACACAGGTGGCTGTGTTAGGATGGCCAATGAAGAGCAAGGAGCAGAGGAAGCAGGGCAGGAGAGAGATGAGTAGAATAAAACTGAGAGCCTGGTTGTTGGCCTTGACAATGGGAGTGTCTCTGTGCTTCACAAAGACTCCCAGGACTACAGCTGTGAGGACAAAGAAGCACAGAGCCATGCATGAGATGGTTGTCCCCAAAGCATCCTCAAAAGCCAGGAATGTCACACGTTTTGGGAGACAGTGAGTTCTCTCAATGTTTGAGTACTCTTGAGCTGGGCACTGGGTACACTGCTTTGCATCTGTTGGAAAAGCAAAGATGCAGCAATTCAGTTTTACAAATTGATTGTCATGTTGAAGAAAATGGACACCATTATGTAATTATGTGCAGATAAAGCCCCTACGGTAATACCAAGTTATACTAAATTAAGAGTCTGTATTCATGACACTGGGGTAACTCTTTCAGCTGCAGATAACACCAAAGTCATTTGAAACTTGGTCTCAGCATATGAGAATTTGGGATGGTCCATCTTGTGGGTCTCAATGATGTTACAAAGGATGAGGATTCATCCCCAATCTCTACTCTCTCCTGAGATTTCATTATAATGAATCTTATATTTTCATAGCTTTTCATATTTGTTCATCACAATAGAAATGAATAGTTTTTTTCTTTTTTTCTTCTTTTTTTGGAGAGGTTTTTGCTATAGGATGTGTGCGCTCATCAGAAAGACAGAGAGAGACAGAGAAACAGAAAGTGAGAAATCATTCCCTGGGGGGATAGCCACGCTGCAATCCCTTCTCCTTCATTCTCCTCTCAGGATCTTGGGCACACATGCACACGCATCTGGTGTTAGCTTAAGCCACTGGGTCTGGGACTTGAACCGCGGTCAACTACATGGGAGTCCAGCGACATAGCCATTACGCTAACTGCTGGTCCCAGAAATGAATAGTTTTCTTAATATTCAGAAAAAGATAATTATACTTTGTTCTTCTGGAGTATCCTAACTTTTCTCTTTCCTAATTTCTACTGATTTTTTTTCTTGTATCTAACAGGTCACTTTGTGTACAGACTTTACTCATTGTACATTTTAGTTTTTCTGTCAATATTATCATAAACACTTCTATGTAAATGTGAAAACAGCTTTAATTTAAAACATTAAAATCTCAAGTGGAATATTTTTGCTCCTATAGAGATTTTTTTGAGAAATTGGTATTTTAATTATATGATAGAAGGCAGGAGTGTTCTTTTTGAGGTGTTCATTTCTATATAACTGAAAGCACTGTTTGTTAATTTTTTTAACACTGATAATATTTTTGCCTTTATACATAATAAGTTCTCTGTTGCAACTACTCATGTCTACTGTTAGGTGGCAGGAAAGCAGTCAGGGAGATTACATGAATTAACAGTCATGTTTGTGGTTCAATTACATATTGAAATAAAAATATCTGCTGTAACTTGTATTTTCTAAAGTATTTATTTATTTATTTATTCATGGTAATACTGAGGCAATAGTATTGGGTTGTCAGAAAAGTCAGTACATTTTTATTGAAAAAGTCATAACTCTTCCAACAGCCCAATATTTTCTCTAAGAATTAGAATGGGGACCAGCAGTTGGCATGAAAGTTAAGATTCTAGACTCCCACATGATTTATTGCAGCTTGAGTCTCAGACCTTGTGACTTGCTTTCTCACTTTCACTTTCCCTTTTACTTTCTCTCTTTCTGGTCACTCTCTGGTCAGTGTGCATGTCCTGTACCAAATTTTGATAATAGTAATAATGATAATGATAAATAAAATTAATAATTATCAGAAAAATATTAGAGTGATAATCAATCATGTTTTTTTTTCTTGCACAACCTCTTTTTTAAAATTATCATCATAATCTTCTTTATATTACATTGGATTACATATAACTTTACAGTGCATTACAATGCTTCTAATCATTTCTTTAAAACAGTCAATCACTATTTCTCAT